GAGTCGCCAGATATCTTGAATTTCCTGAGCAAGTTTTGGCGTTTGGCACTCAGGCAGGGCGTGTAAATTGGACGACAGCCCCGTAGTATAGCTGAGCATGCGGCTTTATAAATGGCTCCTTGGAATCAGCGTCAGGCTTCATCGACTGGCATACTGTGCAACAGAATTGTAACCATGTTAAGTTCCAGTGCGTCACGGAACTTTTCCCACGCTGCCTTGCAGAAATTCTACCAACGCTTGGTTGAGCTTCGAATGATGGGTAGCTGAAGCCCGGTGTGGATAAGTGATGGTCTTTGTTGACTACGAGGGAAGTTATCAAGTACTATACTGCTCACCGGTTGTGAACAGCCATCTAGTGAACCGACCCATGAAAGGTTGGGAGAGTACTCTTTCAACCATCTAGTTGAAAGAAATGCGCCACATTGTTTTGCATTGTGAATTAACATGAAGTCATTGTTAGTCGCCCAATCCATCAGCCATTCACTGTCGTCATCTGGATCAGCATACCCCCACTCAGAGTGGTGGCTGTTAAAATCACCAATGAATATTGCTGGATTATCAAGTGTTGGAAGGACCTGCTGGTCCCAGCACACACTCAGTGGCTTAAATACGTTGACAGTCCTAAAGCCATCAACCTGGATCACATTGTAAAAACTGGAGGAGGAGAGTGGAACAGCATCAGATATGTCGGAGAGTACATATGTTGCATGGCCATCTTTGGCATCTGGAGTGTGAGAAATTAGGTTAAAGCCATTTACCATAATGTCCTGCTTCACGAATTGCAACATGAGTTCTTTGCTAACAGATTTTGTCAATACTGTGATGAATAGCTAAGGCATTAATGATGCTGCGTTTGGTGGCTGAAGAATTTGAAGCACCAGTTCAAGGGCTTGAAAGTTGAAGGATGGCGATTATATTGGGGTTGCGGTCAGATGGCACATGACCAGGATCCATCACCGAATTTGGTCCACTGGTTGGATCATTAGTTTGCCCGGCCTAGCCCAGGCCGGATACTGATGAGGAGTGCAACATGAACACTGATCCATTGCCCCCCTGTATTGAGTGATACATCCCCTGTCAACCAGTCTCATCTTCCGGCAATCAGAGGTTCAGGGACACCCAGAGCATAGGGTTGCATCCCTGACCATCTTGGCTAATGGCCATTGGTGGACCAATCATCCCTGAGTTTATCTAATTCTTTTTTGAACCCAGTTATACTTTTATTGTAGTCTGAGTATTGCACTCATGTATGAAAGATGAGTCCAGGAGCAGGTCCCTCTGCCCAGACAATGGCTTCTATGCACATTGTCCCCACCGTATGTAACTAAGAGGTGAGATGGTGCACTGGGCTCGTTACTGGGCATAATATTGGTGCACAGTAACTAATATTGTGTTATATGCACATATGCTCATTTTGGGGTTATTTTTTCACTCAGGCAGAATATGTCTGTTAGAAAATATGCGTGGTCTTAGACTGTAAGCTCTTTGGAGCAGAGACTGTATCTTCATATATGTTTGCAAAGTGCCTAGCATGGTGAGGACTGGATCCTACCACTGGGTTCTGGGAATTACTCTAATACGGCGGTTCTCAAATTATGGGGTGGGTTTCCCAAGGGAAGCATGGGTATATGTCAAGGGAGGCCCAAGCGTGTGCCTTTTTGTTTATTTGGTTGTTTTTTTGTTTTGTTTTTGTTTGAAGAGCTGTGGCTGTCAGTCCTGAATGGCTGGGACTTGTACAGAAGGGCTGTGCACACCAAGGAGGTGGGGGAAAAAGGGGACAGCCTCCCCCGCCCCCAATCCCTCACTGGGAGGCCGCCCAGACATGGACTCTCCACCCCAACCCAATCCGTCACCAGGAAGCAGCCTGGGCTCAGGCTCACCTGGAGGTGGCAGGGCTCTGGCTGTGAGCCGCTGGGGACATGGAGGGCGGGCAGTGGGGCAGCTGTGTTTGCTGTGAGAAATGTACTGCTGTTGGCGTGGCACTGCCTTCAGAGCTGGGTGATGGTATATGTATTTGGGGAGGTTGGTGGGGGGGCGGGGCGTAAATAACTACAGACACAAGGAGGCCCCGATCAAGTAAGTTTGAGAATCAATGCTTTAATACAACTGTTATAGTAATAATAAAGTTGTTCACTGTGAATGGTTTTGATCTTTGAGATTAGTGCAGCTTACTCAGTTAGGTTGTTTCAAAGCACTGTATCAATGGGTCTATATTGTAGAACATCCTCAAGTATATATCTGAATAGGCATTGCTGCTGTAAATATACATTCTGTGCATGTGACTTTTGAATACATGGCAGAATTGCTGACCATCCATGATGTTACAAGAGACGGTCTCTATTTTAGCCAAAATATTTATAATTTTACAATCCGCCTATCCAAAAAGTGCTTACAGTCCAATGTATCTTAATGGAATAAGAGGAACATCTCTTTTTGTCTCCCCTAATGTGTCATTTATAGCTTTCAAAGGCTGAGAAGCATTTGTAGATTCTAGGTAGGATCATTTAGGACATTTTATACCATTCCAAGAGTTTGGTCAAAAACTTGGCAGTTTCTGCCATATGCCAGAAAATATTGGAATATTTTACTTGATGAGAGAAAGAGAGAGTTTAAATATCATCTGCTTATTTATTAAATATATTTGTATAATGCATATCACAGGATTTTGGGGGGCAAGATATGTGGTTTAGAGTGAGGCAGAAAAATAATTCACAAGTATAGGGAGTTAATATTCCATAACTCATCATTTCCCACATACACACCAAGAATATATAGGCAAGAGGAGACTGAGCCAATCTCCTGGTCTAGGATAGAGCACTAGATTAGGAGTGAGGAAACCTGGGTTCCATTTCTAACTGCCATTGAGTTGCTGTGTGACTTTGGGTAAGTCATTTAGCCATTCTTACCTCATTTTACCAAGCAGTAATACAAGGATAACAATACTTTACCTCCTTTTGTAAAGCATTTGGAGATAATGGATGAAAATCATAATAACAGTAACAGGCTGCTATCTGTGCCTCCATTTCCCTATGTGTAAAATGAGGATGTTAATATTGACCTGCTTTGTAAAGTGCTTTGAGAGCTACAGATGAACGGTTGTATTATTATAGAAGTGCTCAGTATTTATTATGGAAAAGTCTGGCCCCACAACAGAGTCTTTAAATGGGACACAGACTAGGAAATGTTACCAATGTGTGTGAGAGCTAAGAAGCAAAGTAACTCATTTGTTGATGAGGAGTTTGAGAGATCATGGTGCTCTCCCAGGTCTGGTGAAGAACCATAATATGCTCTAGCTATAGATTGGCACTTGTAGGCATTGCCACAGGAGCATCTCTATTCATTGTCTCTCCTTGTACTGTACAAAATACATGTGCTGTTCAACTTTCTGAGATTGAAAAGATCAGTTACAGGTTTTGTTGCTGGTACTTCTTCCTTGAAGTAGATTTCCCTATACTTTATAAGAATTTCAAAACATTGGCTTTTGCCCTTTCCATTCCCTCCCTGAAAATGATTGAATCATAGAATCATAGAATATAAGGGTTGGAAGGGACCCCAGAAGGTCATCTAGTCCAACCCCCTGCTCGAAGCAGGACCAAATCCCAGTTAAATCATCCCAGCCAGGGCTTTGTCAAGCCTGACCTTAAAAACCTCTAAGGAAGGAGATTCTACCACCTCCCTAGGTAACGCATTCCAGTGTTTCACCACCCGAGATTGTGATTGAGATCTGTGGTTTCTTCATGTGGCACCAACAGGAAACCTTTTGCTAAAGCAGTGTGAAATGAAACCCTAACCATGTGAAATTCACTTATTTCAGGTATTGTTACAAACTTTAAGCTATATTCTGGCTCTCCAAGGGACGTAGCACTTTAAAGGAAACCTGGTTTAGTTTGTAGAACTTGGGCCAATTTGTGCTTTTGTATCAAAATTGTATATAATCTGTATATTGACTGCAAAGCCTGGTGAATCTCAGCTATTTTGACTGAGTTTTGTGTTGAATGTTGGGGTTTGTTTCAACCTGAAACTGAAAATTCAGGGTTGAGGCAGAGTAAATAGGTGCTCATCCACAGAGATCAAAATTAAAATGTTAGCACAAAGCTGACTCTAGTTTTGACCAAGTCAGAGGCAACTGAGACTAATTCAAGTCCTCTGGAGAATCAGTGGACCAATGGGTTAACATCTTGCTAACATTATTTCAGCTCCACCAACATTGGGAATGTTGGGAGCCCTACCATAGCTATGCAGCTGTTGCCAGCATTTGACACTGTATCATCTAACCCTTCAGAGAGCTTGCTGGTTAAAAGGCTGGCAAGTGTTAGATCCAAGCTAGTGCTTCCAACATTTCTAGAACTGGTGTAGTTGAAAGGGTGTTAGCACTTTCTCTAGTGTAATCAAGTCATCTCTTTGAGATTTTGTAATGGTTCATAGTGCCCCTTTCATGTGGCTGAAGTAGGTTGTGTTTTGTGGCTCATTACATGTTCCATTTTGAGTCAGATTCTACCCTCTGATATGCATGTCCCACTGACTTCAATGGGAGTTGCACGTGTTTATATGAGGGAAGAGTTTGGCCCATTATAAACATACCCTTCAGATTAGTGCAGTCAGCAAGAGCCATCTCTGCAACTCGGGGAACTAGTAGACTCTGCATAAAAATGGATCCTTAGGTATGTAAGTTAATGGGGGATTTTGTACTGAAACACAGTTGGATGAAGAACATTTTGAACCAAAGGACATGTCTTTGGTCAGTATTGTTTTCCAATCACTCTGATGCTAGTCTTCTGATTATTATTTCTTTGTATTACAATTGGATCGAGAGACCTTTCTGCTAGTCACTATACAGACATCTACAAAGTCACACCCCCAACTCTAAAGAGAGAGCCTAACGTTGAAAAAATATTTTCATTTATTTCAGTTTTATTTTGTGCATTTGAGAGCACTTTGTGTGTCTAATAATGGCATTTTCTTTCCCATTCCCCCCTTTCTCCTTCTGCTTGATCCCACAGGGAAGTCATAATTCTGTGATTTTCACCAAACTCTGTTGCAATGCAAGTGAGTGTGATGTGATAAATTCAGCATTATGACATCATTTCGTGACCATCAAGAGAAGATGGGGTATGCGGGAGCTATCCTTGTTTAAACACACATTGTTTTAATAAATAGCAGACATGGTAAGAAACTGTAACAAGTGGTGGATTTCTTCTAGTCTGGTCTATCTGAAAGCCACTTTGCTTAAATGGCAATGCTGTATCTGCAGCAAAGGCTTTCAGTTCTTGTTCTGTTAAACATTTTTGTTTCTGATGTTCAATGCTAATACAAAAGCCCTCTTGACATTTCATGTATCAATGTAATACATGGTATTCTGTTTCATCCACTAGAGCGTTGCATTTATATATGCAATTTGACGCTGGGTTTTCTTTGAGGGCTTTGGGGTTTATGTATATAATTTTTGCATAGAAAGTCTTGGCTGTTTAAAACTAGACCTTGAGTGATTATGTAACTTAAGTTCTAGGGTACTGATGTGACTGTGTCTACGCTAGAGAGCTTACAGCGGCACAGCTGTTCCGATGCAGCTGCACTGCTGTAAGATCTCTCATGTAGCCACTCTGTGCCGACCGGAGAGAGCTCCCGTCGGCATCATTAAACCACCCCCCAATGAGTGGTGGTAGCTATGTCGGTGGGAGAAGCTCTCCTGCCAGTGTAGCGCTGTGCACACTACCGCTTATGCCGGAGCAACTTACATCGCTCCGGGGCATAGAATATTCACACCCCTGAGCAACATAAGTTTTGCTGACATAAGTGGTAGTGTAGACATAGCCTGAGACATAAACATTAAATACTAGTATTTATTTTAAATTCTAAATATGTACATATCTGTTGCTGTCTTCAAAATATTGTGCAAACCTTTAAGGATCACTATCAACCTAAACAAAATAATTTAGACCAAAATGTGATGCCCTTCCACTATTTGATTGTAAAGCCACAAAAATTGGCAAGGATGGTTGGGGGCAATTGGAAGTTAGTGTTTTTTGTTTGTTTGTTTGTTTGTTTTTAAACAAAATAACTTTCAAGATGAATATGGGGAAACTGAGACAGAGAGAATTGGCTTGCCCAAGGTGTCAAAGCAGAGCAGATACAACTCAGGAGTTCCTTGCTTCTAGTCCGATGTTCAGTCAACTACTAGACCATGCTACAGTTCATAATTCATACAGCATCTAGCACACTGTGGGTGCTGTTGGAAACACAAATGAGTATCTTATGTTAATTCAATCTAATTAAAAGAAATGCTTTAATTAGCAGATCAGAGTGATTTTCTTTTCACAGTAAATAACATTGAGGACATCAGAATACAATTTGAAGTTTTTGAAATGGGAATATGATTAATATTGTGGATAAAAACATTGTAGGAAGTACTTGTAGTTTAAGCATTCATTTGTACTTATAAATTATGAAGCTGAACTCTCCTGCCCATTCTCTAGATTTTAAAAGATATCTGTTAGTGTTCGAAACCAGTTAAATTTTTTGACTTGTTACAAACTTTACAAAGTTCACATTGGCAGGTTAACTAAGAGTTTGTTAAAGAAGCTTGTTTTCTCCATTCTTATTAGTACTCGTGCTCTAGAAAGCTCCAATATTGCAATCACATTTGTAAAGTGAAGTACATGAGTGAGTAGTCTCATTAAGTTCAGTGTTATTGCTCATATGCATAAGTGTTTGCAGAATTGGGGCTTTGGTGTTCTTCCATCAAAAATTATTATTTGTGTTGTGTTTCTGTTCATTACTGTTAATTTAAATCAGAAAAAATACTTTTGGTTGGAGGTTATCAAAGGTTGAAAATACTGCTTAGGAAGCTTAATAGAATTGAAATGTCGGGGCTAATTTTTATACTAGAAGGAAAAAGTTACTAATATAGGTTTCCTCCTGTGTTCTACAGTCTGTCCAGTGAAGATGCTGCTTTGAGGCTGCATTGAGATGCTAACCAGGTACCTTGAACTTTTGGTTTTCCAGTGCAGCATCTCTAAGTAATATTTTGATATAGGAGAAGACTAAAAAACCTTGAGACTAAAATCCATTCTTGTTTCCATAACTTCAAAGACTTTTTTAACTAGAGATGAGTTTAGATTGTATTGTATCCTTAAAACAAACAAACCCTGTATCATGAGAATCTCTTTACAGGTTTGTTCTCCTTAGCATTTGCACGCTTGTATCTTCATTGCCATTTTGATTATGTTTAGGAACAGAATTCAAACTGGGTTCCAGTTAAATTGGTTTCTGACATGCTTTGGCCAGTTGGTGTGAATGAATGGGTGGTGCTAAGCCACATTTAAAAAACTGTGATCTAAGAACTGAAGCGGGAAACCATTTAATCTGAATCAGAGTTTAAATCCTGTTTTTAAATACAAATTTCAAACAAATGTCAGTGTAGACAAAGCCAACATTTGTTACCAAAGTGCTATAAATAGTTCCTTTTCTAAGCAGGAAAGAGTATCCCTTCAGGCAGATGAAGAACGAGGTTGACATTGTCAGTTGCCAAAAAGGGAAAAGATGGGAGGGTGGCGGTGGCACTTCTAGAGTGTGACTGCTGCTGATTCTGCAAGCCTTTCTTAAAAATCTCAGAGGAGATGTTATCGCAAATGCACAGGAGTGACAAAGCTTTTTCCCATCCTGCCAAGAACGTGTGTTTTACAATGTATTAAATAATAGATTTGGAATCCAGCTGTAGTGTTGTGGGTTTTTTTAAAAGCAAAAACCAAAAAAAAAACAACAAACCCATACCCAAAAGCCATAAATGTTTTGAAATCATGCCAAATTAATTTTAGTTGTTTCTCAATAATCAATGACATTAGTGTGTTTTTGCTAGGTTTTTAATCGATCTGTTTGCAGAATTTTATTTTGAATCCGCGAACCAGCAGTGATGATCTGTGACCTGAAAACTGATTACCAGAGACTAGATGAAATTTTTCTGGGATTGTGGACCTTCTTTTAATCTTCTTGTGTAATGATAATCTCTCAGTCGTTCTCGGCATCCTTGTCATCTCCCCACTCTGTGTGTCTTCATAGCCCCACGTTGCAGTGGCACCCTCCGGACAGATTCCCTGTGCAGCTCATCAGTGTCACTTCATGGTTGGCTGGCTGGCTGGCAGGGGTCTTCATAGAGTGCTTTAGGCTATGCTCTCCCTCTTCCACAGTATTCCAAACCCCAGCTGGTCCAGGGAGCCAGGGTCCAAGAATCAGATTCAAGCCTTCTGCATGGCAGCACATATTGCTACCAGTAGGCCAGGCTTAATTTCAAAGCTATTTGACATGGGTGTTGAGTGAACAGTAAAATTGCTACCAGAAAGTTTCTCTCCAAAAATAAAATGTAAATGGTCAGACAGCATTTAGATTTCCAATAACACTAAATTTAACTATACAGCAACCAAAGTACCATGTGTCTGAAAACTTCTGCTGTATACAAAGTTACATAAAAATGAAACTATTGTCATTGTGTTTTTGGTTGGCTAGAATTCTGCTTAACTACAGTATATCTCTAACCCAGGTCTCGTTACTGCTACTGCAGTCACTCAGCCAAGCCAGTAACTGCTCTTAGAATTGTGAAGTTTTTTGCAGGCTGTAATTGGTTGTTTTTTAAATGCAGGTAATGGTATATACATATCTACAGTACTAAAGATGGTATAATAGAGATCATCTTAACTGTATGATAGCCCATTTAAATCCTTGACAACTTAGTAGGTCATTTTGTGAATATGAAGGTTTTAACATTAACGTCTCCTGCATTGTAATTTTATAGGGAGAAGAAATGGGTGACAGTTGGCGACACATCCCTCAGAATTTACAAATGGGTACCAGTAACAGAGCCCAAAGTTGATGATGTAAGTATTTCTGGACATCCTACAGATAGATATCTTTAGAAGTTTTTGCAAAAAGAAAAGGAGTACTAGTGGCACCTTAGAGACTAACCAACTTATTTGAGCATAAGCTTTCATGAGCTACAGCTCACTTCATCGGAAGTTTTGGAACTGCAGACCAGTATTTAGTTGAGGTCGTAAGGGGACATACTGTCTGTCCTCAGATCTCAAAGTTAATATTGGGTTGGGTCTTAGTACTTAAAGAGAAGATTTCCAAGGGAAACTGAGGTTGCTGCAGAAGGTAATGTTGGTGATTCAGTAAGGTAGCACTTCCCCCCCCCAAGTCTCACTCTAATACATGACTTTTAAAGAGATTTGAAAGCAAGTTAGTTTTTTAAAATAGTTAGTTATAGATTCTGCATTCCCATTTTCCAATTTAATAAAAAAAAAAAACTCACCTTTTTCTTTTTGAAAGACCCATACAATCATCAGAGGAAAGTAACTTGTGCAGCTAACTGTGCACAGTATGTATACTGTATTCTTGCTGTGCATCGTTACGGTTGCCACATCTCACAATAGAGACACCTTTTTTTCAGTGTCTTATAAAGAGATTCCTCTGTGTGCGTGTGTAGTTTATAAAGTGTTTTAGAATTCTTTGGTATATAAGTGCTATGGAAATGTGAGGTATTATTGTATTGATTAAGATGCTCAAGCCAAGCAGTATAGCATGTTCTCTGCTATTGTAATGGCTATTTTCTCCTGATAAATAAGCATTGCACTTGCAGCATATTGATGTTCTTACTGTGCAGTGCATTGTGAATTCACTGTTTTTTTGCTATGATAGACACATGGCATAAAACAGCATATATAATGAAAATAAAAATTAATAGCACTTATCTTTTCATCCGTAGATCTCAAAGTTCTTTACAAAGGTAAGTATGCATTATTACTCCCATTTTACAGGTGGATAAATTTGTGCCGAGAGAAATCGTAATTTACCCAAGGTCTTGCAGTAAGTCAGTGACAGAGCAGGGAAATATAACTTGGATCTTCTGAATCCCAGTCTGGTAACCTATCCACTGGACCATGTTGCCACTGTTTTAAATCTATAACAGAGGTGTGAAATAAGTTGCAGTTTGATGGAACTAATAGTTTAGTATCTTGGTTTTCAACCTGTGGTCTGCAGAGACCCCTGGGGGACCACAGACTACGTCTAAGGGGTCAGCGAAAGGTGGTTGTTATCTAGCATAGTAATTTTCAACTTGTGTTCTGTGGATCCCCAAGAGTCTGCACACTGTATAAGATTTTCAGAAGGGTCCGCACCTCCGTTTGAAGTTTTGTAGGGGTCTGCAAATGAAAAAAGGTTGAAAACCACTGGTCTAGTAAAATGTCCAAAATAGTGGCTCTCAAAAAAGACTGAAGCCTGGATTTACACTACTCAAAACCCAATTTCTGTCTTCTGATTGAGGTTATGTTAAACTGAACCTGTTTCTTTACGTGACTTCAGTCGCCTTGCAGAATCTGCTCCTTAAGGTGCAAGACATGCCATATCTACCCCGTTTAAGGAAATCTCTAATCCGCCAATCTGCCGTTTTCAGTTCAAGGCACCCTGTTTAGACAGCTCCTTTAAAGCAGTGGTTCTCAACCTATTTATCGTTGTGGGCCGCAGGTTGAGAACCACAGCCTGCCACCCCCAGACCACAATGCCCATCGCTCCCACCCAGAGACCCCTCCACAGAGTGGGGCCAGGAGTGGAGCCCTGGATGGGGGCTGGGTAGCAGCTGGGCAGCAGGGACCCTGGATCTTGCTGTACAGGGCCGGGCAGCCCCGACCTTGGACCCAGTTGCACAGGGCTGGATTGTAGGGCAGCCTGGCGGCAGCCCAGACCCTCACCCCACATGACAGCTGGCAGCCCCGACCCTGGACGGCAGCCCCCGGACCCCGCGTGGCAGCCCATGGATTCCGGACCCTCTGCGGGGCTGACCGGCAGCTCCAGACCCTCGCAACGTGAGGCCAGCCCCTGCCGTGCTGGGTGGCCAGACAGCCGTGATCCTGGACCCTGTGGCTCTGTGGCCTTTAGCACACAGCTGGGCCTCAGCTGTGTGCTAATTGGGCTGCGGGTTGAGAGCCACTGCTTTAAAGAACCTCTATCACCACTAGATGGCAAGAAGAACTGCAAGCATAGCCAATGCCTATTCAACAGTCCAGCCCCTGATTTTGACCTTCCAAGCCATCTGTGGCAAAGCTTAATTGCCTCAGATGTAGACGGATCAAGTGTGCTGCAAATGTCTATAAGTGGGGGCCTTTGATTTTCCCCTTTGCTACTATGGCCAGTTAGAAGATGTAGATGATATACCTGGAGGCTGCATCCATTGCTGGGGCTACGTGGTTCCCTCATGGACTTGCACAACACCTTCCATCAGCTGTTGAATGGTTGAGATATTTAAATTAACATGCCTGACTTGAACACCTATGTAAATGTAATCACAATACAAAAAGTTGCCCTAAAGACTTCACTAGCTGACATGCTGCAAAGATTTCCAGAGAGTCTCTTGTATTTAAAAGTTTCTTCAGAGCTGAACAGCTTGTGTGTGAAATAAACTCTCGTCAGTTAGGATGCCTATTTTTTCACAGAAGTGTTCTGTATAGAAACTTTTTATCTCATTGATAAGTGTTGGCACTAATTGGATTACTTGTTATACAAAGAGAAAATGATTGCTGTTACAGTGTGTGCTTTGTTAAATATATTTGAGCCGGGGGGTTACAATTTCTAGGGTTTTTCCAGGCAAACTTTCCTGCATCTAAGCCTGTATCCAGCAGAATACTTCTGACTTTTTTTTTTTTAAATGTCCTTCATAGTACATTAGAACTGAGTTCATAGACATATTCTGCATGAGCATATCAGCTCCGCATAGGCGGATCCTCATTACAGTCAGTGAGGCTCAATGTTTGTCTGAGTCCTTTCACATGTAACCAGTCATAGTATTTGGACCATAATTTGGCATATTGGGCAAATAACCCTTGATTTTGAGTCTAAAACTAATTGACAGAGGCCCTTTGAAACTAGGTCATTCTAACATTCACATGCTGTTGCAGCCTTGTTTAAGATTAAAGGGTCTCTGCCTTGTGGCACATGAAATCCCTGAACAGAAAAGAGCTATACATTATTAGAGAACCTAAAGGAGGGAGGGCAAAATCTGGTCTTTTTACTTGGGCACAAGAATTATTCTCCACCTGCCCTTGGCCTACATGCACCGAAGCAGATTAAGATACCCTCCTAGTGCTCATTAGAATGGTAGGATGGGGGTCTTACTAATGTGCCCTGCAATGCTCCATGGCCCCAAAGGAAGTTGTATGCCATTTTAGGGGGTATGGTTAGTGTCTCTCCCCCATCAATGCACAAGGTGCTCCTAGGGCCACCTGAGCTGTTTTGGTGGGATGGTTTAGGAGCTGTTCACTCAGCTGCTCCCCTTTTGTTCCCTCTGAAAAGAAACAACGCAGTGCTTCTGGAAAGCGTGGCGTCCTTGATCCAGAGCTGTTAGATTTGTCAGTAACTTTCTGAAATATGTATATGTAAGTGTTTGTTTGTATTTATGATGTATATTTTAATAGGGAAAAAAACACCTTGTTCCAAGGATAGAGAAAAGTGCCCCAGTGTCTGTCTTGTTGAAATTCTTTTGCAGCCTCAGACCATACTTGATTGTCTTCTTGTTTCTGTCCCTCACTGGAGAGTGTTGCCTGACCATAATGGGTTGATTACTGAGCTTCTCCCTTCCTGGAGTCTGGCTTTTCATTCTCCTCTCAGCAGGAACTGGGTTTTCCAAGAGCAGCGCAGCTGGCACTTTCTCCTAGGAGACCAGTTACATCATCTCCTAATTGAAAATGCTGCATCCCTTTCTAGACACGGATTTTCCACATGATGGATGCAAACATCTCTTTTGTTGCTTTAACCTTGCAGCTCCTGCTATTACACAGGACATGGGGCAGGGGTGTGTGTATGCAGGACTGTCTTGCTGCTGTTGGGATTTCTCTTTCTCTCATAATCCCTCCTGCTCCACTTTTTAGATTTAATGCAGAAACTACATTGTATATGGAGAAGGGAGAAGTCTCAGCAGCCTGGGAGGGAGGCAGGCAGGCCGGCAAACAGCCATCCTTTCCATGTGAAAATTCTCAGTCCCCCACCATTACCATCGTGCACACCTTCAAAAATCCATGCAAAAAGTGAAGATGCTGTGTCCTAGGTGACTAGATGATAACCTGGAGCAGGCTGTTGCTTCATAATACAGCCCTTCCAGGAAATAATTATCCCTACTCCATTCTCTCTCCAGAACCGCTTCATACTCTTTAAAATACTTGGCACTTGCAGCCTGCGAGTCTTTCATCTAGAGATCTCAAGGTGCTTTACCAGAAATGTTCATCACTTTACTGTGAGGTAGATCACTGTTATCCCTATTTTCCAGAATAGGATACTGAGTTACAAAGCAGGGAATTGACTTACTCAAGGCTCCAGAGTGGCAGAGTCAGAAATCATGTAAAGAATTCCCAAATCCCAGCCCTTACTCTAATGACGTTGCCTCTGCTTTTGCCTTCTCGGTTTTGGCAGGAATTCTCTTGATCTTGTCTTTCCTTTTCCAGTTGCCTTTGTAGCTCTTGGGAATTGGGAAAAACAGGAATAAAAATACTTTATTTTAATGCACCCAAAAAACACCTTAATGGTGCATAATAAATTAAATTATACACCTATTGGAGTGGCCTGTTGGTATATTATATACCTTCAAGGCTCCGGATATACTAGCTGTGGGGGAGGAGTCCTCCACAGTCTTAGCCCTAGGCAAAACAGCTTGGCTGAAAATAAAATGAGTTTTTCATTGTGTTCTGAAGGCCAGCAGAGCTCTGGTGAACAAAGTATGTGTTCAAATACTTCTCTTTAGTAAATTTCTACTCCTCTCTCTAAAGAGAGCTGCCCCCAAGCATAATGTACAGGTGGGCTTTCGGCTACAAAGTAGTATGACTGCAATAGGGAAAGGTGCAAAACTGCTAGGGCCTGTGCTATTGGTTATAGCACTGCAGTAAGCTATGGTAAAATTTCTGTTACAAAGAGAGAGGTGTGGTATTTTGGTCTGCCCACAGAGCTGGCAACCAGCAACTCCCCAGTTCTAATCTTGATTCTTATGCAGCTCCTTCATTTTACCTTGGATAAGTCACTGGCGCATTCTGCCTCAATTTCTCCAGCTGCAAAATGGGGGGATAATAATGAGCTACCTCACGAGGGTGATGTTATGTTGTGCAGTGGTTTTGAAGATGAAAAGCAAAGGTGTCCTGATCTGTGACTAGGGCTCCTAGGCACTACAGTATACAAATAATAATAATAATAATGTTTATAAACACTAAACATTAGCAGAACTTCTGGTAATAGTTGCTTTTTTGTGGTGCTTCAGTGGTCATAAAGAATAAACTGTATAAATGTTTCTCAGAGATTCTTATGATGACTGCCTCATCAGTGTTCTTGGTAATTCTTGACTTGGCCTTATTTCCCACATGCAAGTTATAAGCATGATATGCTTACAGGACTAATGCACTGAGCTGAAAGAGAGAGTTTTACACTAACACATGGATGTTGTTTTCCTGGCTAACAATTCAGAGACTTTAATTTTTGGGGGGTGTTTTTGTTTTTCAGAAAAACAAAAATAAGAAAAAAGGCAAAGATGAAAAATGTGGCTCTGAAGTGACCACTCCAGAGAATAGCTCTTCTCCAGGGATGATGGACATGCATGGTGAGTGGGACGTGACCAGCCCAAGCTACTCCAGGCACTGTTATAAAGGAAGTAACCAATGGACAAGATTCCTCTTGGAATCAACAGGAGTCGCTGATGCATACAATGAGGGCAGAATTGGCCAAGTGAGAATAAAAAAAATTAGAAATGCCTGACGCTAGATCAGTGTGTGGTATAAGTCATTAATGTTGATGGTGGTAAATGCAGTTTTCACTCAGGCTGCATGTAAAAGAAAATCCCTTTGTCTTCTGTGAGGGGAGCTAAGACACTGAAATAAAACGTGAAAAGGACAAAACAAAAATAAGCCCAGTATCCAAGGTGCTGTTTCGCTTATCTAAGTGACGTAGTAACCTTGTGCCTCTTACAGACACTGCTTGCTTTGGCAGTGGAAAGCTAATGAGTTCTTGTGTATGTATTTGCTAACTCAGACAAGCTGCATATGTCTTCACAGTGTGTCTGTCCTTAAGGTGCACAGGTAACTGCCTAATAAAATACCGTTTCGCATTTAAAATATGAGAAAATATATCTTGAAACCACTTTTTCAAATTCAGCAAAGCAGAGACTGTCCATTGAAGTATGTTTTAATAGATAGTGTGCAATATTAGTAATTTTTAATAACCTATGAAGGGAAGAAACATGGTCATTTATATACATACCTATTCGCCCTCCCCCAGACTCCAAAGGAGCTGAAAGAATTTTGCTTAAAAAAAAATTGTGGGGAGAGACGAAACACACAACTTCATCCCCAAAGTAAATATTTCAGGAAGTCATCAGAATATGAAAGCAGAGAGCTACAATGGAATCTCTTCTGCAACTTCAGCTATGATTGTCTGTACTGTATGGGTATTGTAATAAATTGTTGGGAGGAGTGTTGTGATGCCTAATTTAGGATTTTAAGGCATTTTGGAGAGTTTTGGATGGAAGACTATAGAAATGCAAAGCATTAAGGAAGTGGCTATGAGACTGGGCTGTTGGCTAGCTTGAATGTTGTGTACAATAACATCTAAAAAAGAATTCCTAATTTGAGCTGTGACAAACAAAAATAACACAGGAGACTTTCTTGACAAGTAGTTGAATCTTCAGCAAGATTTTAAATTCATGAGAACTTTTGCTAAGAATCCTCCTGGAAAATGAAAGTTCCTTTGTGCCATACATAATTGATATGATGAAATAAGCAGATTGGGTTAATGTTATGAAGAATGGAGAAGCTTTATTTTCAGATCGCCTGCTTCTCCTCTCACTTGTGTCAGGTTTACACTTGTTTAACCCTATTGACTTTAATGGCGTTACTCCTGATTTACACCAGTGCAAGTTAAGAATTGGGGCAAAATTATTCTTTCAGTTCCAAGAAAAAAACACTACTCTCCTGTAGTATTTGCCACTGGGAAGACTTCTCCTTGATAAAATTAACCAAACCAGAAAACAAAATTTTCAGTTCCCAGAACAAATGCTGACAGATTAAGAAAAGCAAGGTGAATTGAGTGTTACCATGGTTTCTATCAAAATGGCATCTGTACAGCTCAGCCATGTTGAAATTCCTTAACTTATGGATGTCTAGGTAGCAGCAGTGGCCAAAGCTGCTTCCCCATCTGAGTTGGAGTAGAAAGGTTTGACCTTTTGAAGATGCAGAATTTTAGCTTTAGCAGTTTGCAGCTTTGTCACCCATCTACACAGACTTCTAGTGTGACTTTGTCTTGGACAAGTCATTTAATCTTTGTCTCTCCTTTCCCCATTTGCAAAATGGAGATAATACTTTTTCCTTGCCTTTTGTCCATTTTGTCTATTTAGATTGTAAGCTCTTTGAGACGGGGACTGTCCCCGATTTTATGTGGTAACTATCTGAGTTGGGACCTGATCTCAGTTTGGACCTTTAGGCCCCACATCAATACAAATAATAAAAATAAGTGTTCTCTATGGAAATACACATGAAAACTTTACCTATTACAGAAGGATACTATGTGCTTGATTAGCAGGTTGATTTAAGGGGATTATGTTACAACTGTGCTCCAAGATCTGTACTGGTTGGCTGTCCGTTAATTTCTGGTTGCAATTCAGCTGTTGGTTTGTACCTATAAAGTGGTTTGGGAGTGTTTCTTTCCTTGGATGATACCCCTGCAGATGATATTAGATGAGGCACTCAAGCAGGTAGCCCCTGGTTTCCCCAGGAATTGGATGCAGACAAGGCATTTCCGCTGAGGGGCTCTTGATATTAGAATTTGCTTCTCCCTTTGACTCGACGTGGCCTAGGTTTGTAGACCTTCAGGATACTCTGGAAGGCCCACCTGTTCTTTTGAGTAGAGGGAGGGGCATGAAGGAGCATACAAGTCTGCAGGGTAAGTGTTAAGAGTTGGGTACTGATGCTCTCGATGGATGAACTGATAAAATACAGAATTCTGGCTTCTGATAAGAGATTATATTATATAAATCCAAGAATTTTGTGCTGTTATTGTTTAGAGCCCTCGGTCACCATATTTGAAGAAATATACACTATAGTTAAGCAGCACTGTGTACAACACAGGGCATCAGAGAGTGTCAGTTGAGTGAAGGGGACTTAAGTGTAAAGAGTCCTACTAATTTGTGAACCTGAACAGTCCTCAGCTCACCCAATATTCCCAGTGAAGTCACTGGGATTCTTGAGTGTGCAAGGCATGTAGAATCACATCCGATTTTAGCTATGCTATGATGCATAAAATTATATAACTTCAAGAAGAGCCAAAATATCCTATTTCATTCACTTTTCATCAAGGTAGAATTTTTTTCCAGATGACAATAGCAACCAGAGTTCAATAGCTGACGCTTCTCCAATAAAACAGGAGAACAGTAGCAACTCAAGTCCAGCACCTGAGCAGAACTCAGCAACACAAGCAGATGGCACTGAAGTAAAGTCTGATGAAACTCAAGCAGATGCAAAGGAGCAACCTGGTTCAGAAGGTAATGCATATAGATATATCTTGTGCCTGGAGCTTTTCTAATAGGAAGCACTAGTTTAAACTAACACTTAAGTTCCACATTCTTGATAAGAAAGAAGCTGAAATAATAAAAGTGGAACAGTGTGACTGGCATGTGATACAAAACACAACCATCCATTTTTCCAAAACAACAAATACAGCTCACAAATCAAAAGTGATGATTTGCCACAGTCCACATGTTGTTAGTTATTTAACTTCTCCATAATGATGTCTAGTTGGCTTAAGTCTTCTAAACTTCATTGCTGTGTCAGTCAGAGCAAAGTCCTTGGTATGTAAGTATTTTATTTATGTACTTAAAACTCCTGTTGACTTCACAGGGAGCAAGAACAGGTTTAAACTAAATTACAAAATTAATTTCTTCCATGAGAGTTCCACTGACTTCAGTGGTAGCTGGCCCAGGTCCGAAACCTTTACTGCACCTAGATGCCTCACATCTCCAGAACAGAGTGCAAAATATTTTTCTGCTTGGTTTTATACCTTAAAAATCCAGGTCCTGCCTAGGTTGGAGGACTGATTGCGAACTAGTGAAATGGTTCCATCACAAGAGCTAAACTGGTGAAAGTTGATCTGCTGAGAGGGGAAGAGATTTTTATTGACTCTTTAAAACTTTTATTATGTAAAACTTATCTAATGTCAGTAACTGAAAATTGACATTTTAAAGAAGGAAGTTGCTTTTGTATTCATCATCCTTGGGCTTTCTTGAGAACTCACAATAAACTCCCTTATATTGCTCATTGATGCTCCAGTGAAAGCAGGGAAGATCAGACTTGACATTCCAGATATTCTTAAGGTAAAAAACAAGCAGGGGAGGAGGGAAACCTTAAAATAAATAAACCTTTAGGCCACCTTAATCCATACCAAGAAGCAAAAAATAGGCTTAAACCCCAATCTTAAAAAATCCTTTGTATGTCACCATTTAGACATTTATCAAAGCCTTGATCCTGCCAGGTGCTCAGCCAGTGGGAGTTGAGGATGCGCTTCACCTAGCATCATTGGGCTCTAAACAAAAATGGAAATAACAAATATTGGTATTTTGTAACTTGTATGTGTACATTTTTATTTTAACTTTATTTTTTTTAATTCACTTTGCTACATTTCTTTTAAAGCTAACTCTGAATTTGTTTGCCCAGTTTTCTAAAAAGTACATAATGTATTTTATTTGCTGCGCTGAAAAACAGCCAAACATGATGTTGGTGAAAAGGTTTTAAATCTGACATTGTTAATGCTATATTTCTTTGGTGCCTTGTAAAATTTTAGTAATTGAAACATTTGCCGTGTATTTATGCAAAATCTTATGTTGTGATGTTTTGAAAGTACCATTGTCTCCTCCCTATTATAATATATAAAATATACTCTTAACAGCATTCTAATAATCTGGTTGCAAAATTCCTGCCATAACAAAGCATTTAAATTGTCCTTCACAAACCTCTTCCTACTGATTCAGTTCTTAACTCAGTAGATCCAATATCCAATTTAAATTTAGATCAGTTATCTCAGTAATATTAGAACGATGTACATCATGCTAAATACCTTCAATGGCTAGAATGTAACTTTTAGATGCGGGGCAATTTGGCAGTTAAATCACTACCAAAGTAGACACAGGAAAGCCAAATTTTATAAAATAGTGTTCTCAACTGACTGCTCACTGGGAACTGTGTGGATTTCCTGCCAGATGGAAAACTTGCCTTTAACTTGTTCATGGGTGAATTCAGCCGATTACATAATGTACATCTCCCATGACTAAATTTAGGTTCAAGGAAAATCTTTCCTTGGGTTGGTTCCAGGGCTGTTACTGTGAAATGAGAGGGAAAAGCTTGGGCAAAATGCATACTAATCTGGCCTTTTTGCTGGTTGGATGCTGTGTTTACTTAGGGATTCTAAATCCAAATAACCCATCATCCATTGGAGAATGATGCTGTTTGATCAAATAGCTGATTGTGACATTGTCAAGCTGAATTTAAATAGCAGGTAACAAATTAAGGACCCAAATCTGTTCCACTGTACATCTTATGTGACTATTCTGAAGTCATTGTGGAAGGTTAGGGGAAAAATTGGCCCTAATTCTTTAAAATCAACATTTTTATAATGAACAAATATTTTAGAACATTTTCCTATGTGTACACTAATTATTGGCAGGTCTGAATGACTCTGAGGACAGGTAATCCTACCAAATTCATAGGTGTGAAAAACGCATCACAGACTGTGAAATCTGATCTTTTATGTAATTTTATCCTATACTATACAGATTTCACGGGGGAGACTAACGTTTCTCAAAATGGGGGTTCTGACCCTAAAAGGGGTTGCAGGGGAGTCATGGTATTGCCACCCTTCTGTGCTGCCTTCAGAGCTGGGTGGCCAGAGAGCTGCGGCTGCTGGCCAGCTGCCGAGTTCTGAAGGCAGTGCCCCACCACCAGCAGTGCTGAAGTAAGGGTGGCAATACCAAACTATGCCATACCAAACTGGTGGCAATACCAAACTGTAGTTTAACAGTGTCAGCAAATTGTACTGTAGAAGATACAAAAGGAAATAAAGCCACTGCTCCGAAGTGCTTTTAATCTGGAAGTACTGAAGACTTAGTGTTTTTTTATAGCCACACAAACAATTCTATGGCAATTTAGAGAGAACCCCCCATAAAACCACAAAAACAAACATCTTGCATCTGACTGAGTCACTTTGAGAATTATCGCTCTTCAGACCACATTCAGTAAAAGATTTTCTGGAGAAGGCTTGCCTTTTGGTAACTCATAGGTAAAAAGAATTCTTTAGTTTAGCTCATGTGGCTAAATTGGGTAATGTAATATTGGGTGCTGAATATTATGGGTTCAGTCCCCACTGCTAATTCAGATATCATCATGTGTATGCAATCACAACTGGTTATATTTGAATGAAAGGTATTGTATGTACATTAGCATTAGAGAGTATAAGCTTGTATTGAAAGTTGATTCTTCATGTTTAAAATAAGTTTTTACTCTTTCAGATACTTCTGATGAACAGAATTCACAGTCTTCAATGGAAAATTCCATGAACAGTTCAGAGAAAGCAGAAATTCAATCCTCTGGAGAAAATGATATAACTACAGAGGCATCTAAAAACTCTCAGGTAATTTTAATTAAGCTTTTTAAAAAAAGCTACTTTTACACATCTTTTCCAAATTCAATATCAACTTTAAAAAAAAGTTAAAGAAAAACTGTCAGGAGACCAACCACATTTACATTTATTTCTTTAGCTGTGTTACTAAGATCACCTTGGACTATTAAATAATTTTTAATATCTGATTTGCTTTCACCATTCATTTGGCCTTCTGTTTCAATTTCATTTGCCTTTAACAGTAAGAAGACTGATCAGTTTCACTTTCAGGCTCATCTGCACCAGCTCAAGTTTGATATGTAAGGAAATGTTACTGTCCAAATAAGGAGGATTTTATTTACTTACAATCCAGTAGGCTGTGCCCAAAATGTATCCCTTTAATTTCCATTTGGAAATAAATATATTGTCTTTATAAAGCAGAACAGCTAATAGACCTGGCAAAAATGTAATGCTAATAAACTCAGTGGGTCAGATTCTGGCTTGAGGTATGTGTATGTCTGCAGAGCCATGGCTAGGAGAGGGGCTGTGGCTTGGGAATTATCCCACCTAAATCTGCACTACAGGTCCTCTCTGAGACTTGGTGGTGGTTTCACGTCTGAGTGCACATGTGCCCACTCTCAAACTCTCACACCCTGCCCTGGAGAAATTGCTGCTGCTGCTGCTACTAGAAGGAGTAACTTCTGGGTCTTTGTTTTTTGTTGTGGCTGAGTATGGAGCTGAGGTAAGTCAGTCTGATCACATTACTGCTGTTGCTTTGGAATGTATGCAGTGGCTTCATGCCGGGAATCAGGATTTTGCCCTATGTGACTAGGTAACAACAAGACCAAGCAACATGATGTTTTAGAAAGATGATTTCAGGAGGTGTGTTTATTTGGTTATGTCATTCACATCCTAGGATATTTTGTGTCCCCCAAGTAACATGAGAGTACTCACTCTTTATTTTAATCTGATATCTACAGCACCTAAGATTCAGTCCAATGATAACATGAATTCTTTCTCTCTTTCCTGTTAAGGACTCTGAAGGAGTGCCACCTTCTAAAAAGATGAAAGTAGAGGCTTCCCAACAAAATGTTGAAGAGATTTAGACTATAGATTTTTTTCTGATCAGTTTTTATGTAAGGTACATCAGTGGGCTTAATCATAGAACAACTTTACTTAAGCATCTTCTCTTGGATGAGGACAGAACTCCTAACTTTTCAAGTTACCAAGCAAAAATCCAAGAAAACCTAGCAAAGGTTTAACTTCTCAGACACTGAAAACTTTTTCCTGTGAAACAAACATTGAGAACTTTTAAGTTACTGTCTCTGAAATGGTTGGAGTAAACAACTCAGGAGGGGTCTACGCACTGTTTCTAAAGTCAAAATTACAATTATGTTGCTGCTGGTTTTATTTTTTTTTTTTTTTTTTTTTTCCATTTCTCTATTTAACAATGTAAGATATTTAAGGATGGTACAGGTCAGGTATTAGCTTTCATGTGAAGTTCATTGTTCTGGCGTGATGTCTGCTTTTGTTTTGTGCCTTGTGTTCTGAAAACAGTGCTAACTTTTAAAGTTGTTTTGCAGCTGTCTCCTTTGCAAAGTGGCCTATGTTTGTATAATGCCATGTAGTAAGTTTTTCTGTTTTTTGTTTTATTTTTTTATTTTAAATCCCTGATGCTTAAAACTTAACAAATAGAGATAAAATGGATCTGGAAGCCATTTTCACACTTGGAGTCCAAGGAGACAAAGAAGCATCATTTTATTTTTCTGCAGCTACAGTGGAGACCTTTTATTGAATGCCCGGCATTCGCAAACTGTAAATCTGGTCTTTCAAACTATTCTTAACTTCATCGGAAGTTAATATGATTTATTTACCATTTATATTCCAGATCTGAATAAATTTAATAGAAGTAAAGTAGATTAAGTAATAGGTCCAGATCTCTGTACTGGGTACAGTAATTGTTTTATAAAAAAGTTCCACTATAAAGATAGGATCAAAGGGATTGATGTGCAGCAAATGATTTATTCTGATATCAGGTTTTCACTGAACTGGATTTCATTGTACTGTTCTTTAATAAGATGTTTACTGATATATTCCAGGCTATACTGTATTTGGGATTTTTTTAAACTTTCAGCTAGTCTTTGTAAATAAGTCTTATTTCCATAATCTCTACATTACTGGTAGAAATTATCCTTTCTTTTCAATTATGTTGAAGCGTGCTTATGCTAAGCTTGTTTGAGCGGCTCTGAGCATGTGTAACTCCCTTCAAGTCAATGGCATTTAGAGGTGCGAAGTATCTACCTAGATCAGGCCTTTAAGGGCCTGATGTTGCAATGGGCTTAATACTTCTAGGGAGGTGCCAAGCGCCTTCAAAACCGAGTCATGTCCGTGGTAACTACTTGTGTGACTAAGGATATTCACATGAGGTGTAAATGTTGCTGGATTGGACCTTAATCTTCATTCACTCTCAGAGGGAGATGGGGCTTGTAATTTAAAACCAGATCCCACATCTCCAAAAATTGTGCAGAATGTGTAAGCTAAGAACTGTAAATATTTTTTAAAATGATAAATCTTTCTGTCCACACATTTTCATAATTAGCTCTTTGTAAACTTGCTTATTTCTGAATTCTCCAATGGTGAAAATGGCTTGAGCTTTGACTACTACATTGCATTTCCAATTACCACCTTAATTATGAAGAACAATTGGGAGTAGGAGAAGAGTGAGGAGCCAATGCTGACCTTCCGTAAAATGTCTGTTGGATTAAACTCCAAAGTGACTTGCTATGCTCAGTTTGGGAATTTTTCCTTTTATGTTGAAATAAACTTTTTTGGATCTCAACTAAATAAAATTTGGTTGCAAATCATTCATGAAACCAGTGTGCTCCCTAATAAGTTTTTGGGTTCTCTGGTCAGATCATGAAGTCCATTAACTTTCTGAAAATAAGGAACTGAGGAGCCAAAAGTTATATTTGCACAATAAACATATTGGAATGGTAATTTCTCTCTTGAATTGTGTGTATGCTTAAAAATGTTGATAACTGGTCAATGGCTATCAGTTTGTATGTATAAATACACTCAGATTTAATTGATATTTTGTGAGAAAAATTCTATTTGATATATAAAATGGGCAAATTTAAAAAAAAATCAGACTTTTCAAAACACATTCACTAGCATTTTAATTTTGTATGCTAAAACTACATGAATCAGATGCCACCTTTTACAAGTCGTCATGTTTACTGATCACCATCTTCAGATGAATCCCAAAATGTTTTTCATTTTGATTTTTCTACAAGTTTTTGAAGGGGTAGGTAAGCTTTTTGATTTCAAAGCTGATTCCTGTACTTTAGGAAGAAAAATATAAATAGTACTAAAATACCTCAAATTTTTCATTAGATAGAAATGTTTATTGGCATTACTGACACCAACAGGTTTAACTATAAAATTCCTTCTTTTTCTCCTGTGGCTTCTGCTCAGAACTGTGTCCATTGTACTGTGGCTTGGAAAACAAACCAGCTATTGCTAATGGCTTTATTTCTAAAATAGTAACTTTTTATTTACAGTTTATACAAAATACATTCAGATCTTCTTTTCACCACAGATTCTAGTGACAACAGACAATTGAAAAAGCAGATAGGTTTGGGTTCCTTAAACCTGTTAGTGTCATTCTCTAAGAGGAGAGACCTTGACATTACCTGGTATGAAGAAATCCAAAATAATGTATAAGACTGTTATTAGTCTTTCTTTGAAGTGCCTGATAATATTAATGGGCCAGTGGGTGTGATTAAACACATTTTAATGCCAGAAAGTACAGATGTGATCAGACCAGAACATAGGATCCATATCTACTTGAGGTTTGGAACCACATCTAGATTCAATGTTTTGGCTTGGACCCATCTCTACCAGAAATTTGTTTTATGAACTCACTGTAAAAGAGTGTATTGAAAGCATTGAGACATGAAGCAGAAGGGGAGTTGTAATTTACTTCGAGGTAACTGAAAGTTCTCATACAGCTAATGTTTTAGAGTTAGTGCAAATATCAAGAAGTGCTTCCTTGCTACATGCTGAATGTTGGAGCTTCAGTTACAAAAACAAAAGAAACTAGAAGCAAAAAAAGTAAATTTTAGCTTAGGTTGTGGAACACATGAGAAGGCCTTCCAAATAAGCGATTTACTCAGCCAAACATTTTATAGCAGAACTATTCCTTGGAATTTTTATGCTTGGGAAAGTAATTGTTAAACATTCCAAAAAGTGCTGGCACTTACAAAACAACAAATCAACAAGGCAGTATAAAATATTGGTTTTGGGTGGCTATCTTCATACATAAACATTGTCATGTTTTGGAATGTTCTTTATATCTAAGGGTCTGTTAGAAGATGTAAAGAATTTTGTTCTCCCCCCCCCAATACCTAATCGTTTTCCATCTTATGATTTGTGTGTGTTGTACAGCAGTATAATTTTTCACTTATTTATTCCATCAGTAGCTATGGTTTGTACAATGTACAATGGTTTCATTTAAAAAATAAAATTAAAAAATCACAACATGAACATTGCGTGAATAATTTTGATTAAGAAATTTAAATTTAAGAAGTTCAGTTTGTTTCTAATTTAAAATAAATGTTTCAATTTTTAAATAGATTTTTAAAAAATTGTGCATTCTGTGGTGTCTAATTCCATAATACATAAAACAAATATTGCAATCTTCCTGTTTCTCACTGAACTACAGCGTTGTAATACTGCTTCAGTATGACCTTGCTAAGTTGCATGGATGAATGAATGGGCTCATGGAATTAAAGTAGTGGGTAAACAAATCCAATAAAAGAGCAAGATTACTGGATCCAGCAATGTACTCTGATTATTTAAAGTGCTTGAGTATTGCTTTGATACTTCACAGGGTCATATGCTGTAGTATATTTTGTAAAAACATTTAAAAAAAACTTGCAGACAGTTCATTGTAGTGAGGTCTTGTTGAATTTTTGCTGAGAAGTGGGGAAACGATTAGTGCAACTTCTGTAAAGTGACTGCAGATTAGTAAAATTCCACTGTATGATTTCTTGCTCACCATCAGTGTGCTCTCCAGTGTACAGACACAATGAGAGATGTGGCCTCTACCCTAAGTGTCCATATTTCGCAGTTTTTCAGGACACTTGAAATGTTCCAATTTTCATTTCATTAATAATTTTTTTTTGTTAGAACCACAAAATGTTCAAGATGTATTGCTGTATGAAGTATAATTTGGTCTGTGTTTACTGGGAACACTCAGTCTAGTAGAACAAGTGTTTTTGGAGTGAATGGAAAAGTTGAGTGCTATCAAAATTATGCTTTTTCTTGAAGTGAATGCTAATGACAATTTTTCATTGTTTTATGATAAATTTATTCAGAAACTTACTGGAAAAAGTCCTGTACTCAGAAATATACCTGTGTCACTGAGCCAGGTACTGGCAATAGTAAAGTCAGCACATACAAAAGAACACTTTAAAAAGTATATTTCATTACCCTAAAAAGTTGCTGTAAAAATGCCATTTTTTTATTTTGAAAACATGGTCACTTTATCCATGCCCCAAAGATCTTACATTCTAAATTAGACATATAGATCAAGCATATTTACACATTGAACTGCCTGATAGCAATTCATTCTGAGTTGTGCTGATTGAGGGGGTTTATTTTAATACAATGCTCACATTTTTAGTGCATTATCAGGCTTCACAGAAGGTATGTGTAAAAGGGGGATTTGCACAAAGAGAATTTGCTTGTTGTACAAGAAAGGAAACTATTCCAAGCATAAAGGATGGAGTGAAAGGATGCATGAAGTGAAATGTGAGATGCAGTTTTGCCAGAATGTTTACAGTATGGACTTTTGTTGACACAGTTGTGTTGGTTGCAAATTGTACCACCTCCACACCCCCTCACTGACACAGCTGTGCTGCCAGATATAGCGCAGCCTGCAGAGACTAAAACTGGGAGGGGGAAGTTAAGACAAAGTGCATAAAGTGGGGTGGGAAATTGTAGTGGGTGACCTACATGAGTGAGTGTTAGTAGGACTATGCCCTAATTCTGTATATATTATATGGTTGACTGGATATATGTAAATACAGGTGTGAACATGAGAATCAAAGTAAAACTGACCAGTCTAGATTAAAGTCCCATTTGCTCTTCACCATTTATACTTGTTTATTTTATTCAACCTGGACTGTTAAAATGTTACCTTTTAATAGAGAAAGGTATTAACTGCCCAGGTAAAAAATATGTAAAAAGAAATAACCCAAGTAATTTTTAGCCTGACAATGTCCAGACAAGATTACATTTGGACAGCTAACTGGTGGTGTGGGGCTAGTGGTCCTCCCCTCTCCCCCCCCCCCTTGATTGCTTATATTTTGTGTTTTTAACATGGGTGCAGAAATAATTGGCAGCAGAATCCTAGAAAAGACCTATTGTCTCAGGTAGACTACCACCGCATGACCAGTGCTGGATTGTTTCTTGTCCTCTTGCAGATTTTTCTTGTGTTTTGTGCAGTCCACTTTTAACTGTCCTAGTCACTGAGGTTTCCGCCACTTCTCCCAGGAAAGTCTAGCAAGAAATTTAGTGGGTGCCAGTTTTAGACATTCTGTGACAGTTTTCACCTTAAGAGCCGGAGTCTAGTCACATTATGTGAGGTACTCATCATCCCCAGTTCCCTATACACTTTGGGCCAGGGACTTTGATCTGTGATTTTTTTTGTCTAGCTTTTCCCCCTCACTATAAACTGTTCTATAAAATATAAAAATAATAGGAATTCCCCAGACTCCTGTCCAGACTCCAAAGAAAAGGCACAGTTTAAACTTACTTTGGTTTTTTAATTGGTGTCCACTAGGAGGAGTAGAGAGCAGTTCTGTTCCGTTTGCAATGGGCTATAGCAGGAAGGCAGTCACACGCAGCCAGAGCCCTACATTAAGGATGATGCCGTCTTCATTATAAACAGGATTGGCTAGAGCAGTGGTTCTCAATCTTTCCAGATGTACCCTTTCAGGAGTCTGATTTATCTTGCATACCCCCCCGTTTCACCTCACTTAACCACTTGTTTACAAAAATCAGACTTAAAAATACAAAAGTGTCACTACTACTGAAAAATTGCTTACTTTCTCATTTTTAGCTTATAATAAAAGAAAATGATTGGAATATAAATATTGTACTTACATTTCAGTATATAGTATGTAGAGCAGTAGAGTCATTGTCTATGAAATTTTAGTTTGTACTGACTGCTTGTGCTTTCTAGGGTTGGTCCTGCTTTGAGCAGGGGGTTGGACTAGATCAGTGTTTATCAAAGTTTGGGTCGCAACCCAGTACTGGGTCGTGGCATGTAAGGCACTGGGTTGCCTTTGCTCAGCACCCAGGGACTCCAGCAGCTCTGGTCCGCACTGCCGACTGGGAAGTTAAAAGTGCCGTTGGCAGTGCTTCCCAGCTAAGGCAGGCTAGTGCCTATCTGTTCTGACACTGCGCTGCGCCCTGGAAGCAGCCAGCAGCAAGTCTGGCTTCTAGGCAGGGGGGCTCCGTGCACTGCCCCTGCCCCGAGCACCGGCTCTGCACTCCCATCGGCCGGTTCCTGGTCAATGGGTGGTGGGGGAGGGGTGCTTGTGGGTGAGAACCGCGTAGAGCTGCTTGCGTGCCTCCGCCTAGGAGCTGGACCTGCTGCTGGCCGCTTCCAGGGTGCAGCACGGTCTGCAGTGCCAGGAGAGGCAGGAAGCCTGCCACTGCACCCCAGCTGTGACGCTGACCAGGAGCCACCGGAGGTAAGCCCAAGCCCGTGCCCCATCCCCTGCCCCAGCCCTGAGCCCCCCCAAACCCGGAGCCCCTTCCTATACCCCAAACCCCTCATCCCGGGCCCCAGCCCAGAGCCCTGAACCCCTCTCCCACACCCCAACCCCCGGCCCCAGCCCAGAGCCCCTGATTCCCGGCCCCACCCGCAGCCTTCACCTCCACACCCCAACCCTCTGCCCCATCCCAGAGCCCCTCCCACACCCAAACCCCTCATCCCCAGCTCCATTGGGTCACAGGTATCAACAATTTTCTTCAACTGGGTCTCCAGAAAAAAAGTTTGAAAACCACTGGACTAGATGACCTCCTGAGGTCTCTTCCAACTCTAATTTTTTACGATTCTATGTAGCCTGTTGTAAAACTAGGCAAATATCTAAAGGCATTGATCTGCCCCCTGGAAGACCTCTGTGTACCCCTGCTTGAGAACCACTGGGCTAGAGCACTTCAAGGCTGCAGGCAACTCTGGGGTGGCATTGCATGATCACTAATGGGATAGGAGTGCAGGGGGAGGGGTTGTTGCAGCAACAGGGTGTTAGTCACAGCTGAGACAGAACCTTCTCGATTCCCTCTGTGTGTATGGAAGAGACACGTCTCCCACCTTCATTGTAAATAACCCAGTTGTCACTTTGCAATTAAGCAATAACGTAACTGTTTTGCAGCCCTGTGTAGCTGGGGAGAGGAAGGTGGTCAGTGGAGAAAGTTTTCCTGGCCCGACCCTGTACATATGGAGGGGAAGCAAAAATGCTGCCTTTTGGTTTGAAACTGGGTGCCGCAAAGCCATGCAGGTTGTAGGGTGGTGATTGCAGTGCTGGTACGTGGGGAGTTGGTGTGGCAGAGGAATTGTAGTGAGTTGTTTGAGGGATGGCAGTGCAGGCCTTAGCATCATAGAGCCATTGGGTTAGAAGGGACTGCAAAGGTCATCTAATCTAACCCCTTGCCACCATGCAGGATTTGTTACGTCTAATCATCCAAGACAGATGGCTATCCAGCCTCCTTTTGGAAACCTCCAGTGAAGGAGCTTCCTCAGCCTCCAGAGGCTGTCTTGTTCTTTGGGGTGTTCAGTGGGAGCAGGGGGACCACCCTGCATCATCCTGTCTGACCTGTAGATTGCAAGTCCCTGCCCCCAAAGAGTTCTCTTTTGTTTGTCTGTACAGCACCTAGCACAATGGAACCCTGATCCTTGATTGCGGTTCCCAAATGTGACCATAATATAATGAGCAGGAGCATTGCCTGCATGTAGGTGTGGCGGCTGTTCTTTGGAGGCACGGGGTGATTCTGGTATAGGTATTGGAGGGGATGTGAGAAGGTGCCAGGGGGATTATAGTGTAGATATGTGGATGGGTGTTTAGGGGATGGTAGCAGCTGTATGGTAGCAGGGAGGAATACCCAGGACTGCAGTGGAAAGGGTTGGTTGGGGTGGATTATAGTGCAGGAATTAAGGAAAGGCTTTAGGGTGCAGGGCGGAGTTCTGGGGGGCATGTGGGTTGCTTCAGGAAGAGTTTGTGGATGCACTGCAGGGGTGGGGTTGAAGTTCAGGGGGATGCAGTGCCGAGGAAATGGGGGCGTAAGGGTGGTTGGGAATTGTGGAAGAGAGGGGTAGGGGCCTCCAGGCTGAGGGGCAGGGGCCTCCAGGCTGGGGGGCAGGGCGCGGGCTGCCCAGGAGCAGGGGTGGGGGAAAGGGGGGCGGGGGCTGCCTGGCTTCCCTCAGACAGGTGCCAGTCCTGGTCCAGGGCTTCCCGCCCCGCCACCGGCTGTCGCCGCCCCTGAGCAGGCCGGCGGGGCGCGGGCCCCGGCTCCTTTAAATGGCGGAGGCAGGCCGGGGGCGGTGCCAGACCGGGGGCGGGCCGGGAGTCGGGAGGGGTCCGCGGCCGCAGCAGGAGCGGGAGGCTCGGGCCATGGCCGCCGACGTGTTCATGCGGCCGGGCCGGCTCCCGGGGGCGGCGGGGCCCGTGTCGCGGCGGGCGGAGCCGGACGAGGACTCCTCGGACACGGACGATGGGGGCTCCCCGGCGGGGCGGCGGCCCGGGCCGCGGCGGGGCCAGCCCGCGGGGCCCCAGATCATCCACTCGGGCCACTTCATGGTCTCATCGCCGCACAGCGAGCACCCGCCCAAGAAGGGCTACGACTTCGACACGGTCAACGAGCAGACGTGCCAGACCTACCGCTTCGGGGCGGCGCGGGGCGGCGGCGGGGCCGGGGGGCGCCTCAGCATCGACGCCTCCCTCACCAAGCTCTTCGAGTGCATGAGCCTGGCCTACAGGTGCGGGGTGCCTGGAAGGGGCAGGGGATTCCACGGGGGTGCTGGGGGGTTTCTTGGGCAACTGGGGGCTCCCTGAGGGAGAGTGTCGGGGGGGGACGGGACAGGAAGCGCCAAGAGGCTGGGGGCTCCATGGGGTGGGGTTATGGATGTCTAGGACAACAGGGGGTTCCCCGGGGGGTGGGGCGGGGGTCGAAGAGGTTGATAGTCCAGGATGTTGGGCTTAGGGTATCTGGGGGGACAGGGGGCCCCAGGCAGGCTGAGGGGATTTGGTGGAGGCTGGGGGTACTCAGGAGACAGCAGTGGTACACAGTAGCGTTAGCTTAAGTGGGGGAACCCCTTAAAGCCTGGACATATGGGAGTAGTAGGGGAAGTTGGGTAGGGGGCTCGGTATCAGCCTCGGGGGAGACTGGGGTATAAAGGGCCTGGCATCACTGAGCATTCGTGTGTCTGTCATTAGCTCTTCCAGAGACTTGGGGAGGGAACAGGGGAAACCATGAGACTTGGAACCTCCTCTGGAGTTGAGAGGGGATGCAGAGAGGTGAGGGATGATGCTGGGTGGGCTAACAGGGATTTGGAGATACAGATATCTCTAGAAGAGGGCACAACAACACGTGAGGCAGGAACTGGTAACAATATTAGATGTATATGTACTGTACAAGACTATACACTTGCACAAGTGCTCTGGATAGGAAAACTCCCCCGCAGTATGTTTAAAGTGGATGGGTAGCTATGCCCAGTAATGTCAATAGCTACCTACTGCATGGCCCCTGGTCCCAGATGTGGCCATCTACGCTTCCAGAAGGCATAAATGTCAGACTCCAAGTGAGGGATGGTTTAAAAGAAAGAGGGTGAGAGAAGAGTGGAGTAAACCTGAGAAATATTTTAGCTGAGCATTCTGGAACCTCAGTTTTCCATGTAGAGGCCAGTGTCTGTCCCTCCCCACCAGGACCAGAAGGGAGGCCACGCCTCCTTACTTCCACATCTCTGGAAAAAGAAAAGGAGTACTTGTGGCACCTTAGAGACTAACCAATTTATTTGAGCATGAGCGTCACGAAAGCTCATGCTCAGATAAATTGGTTAGTCTCTAAGGTGCCACAAGTACTCCTTTTCTTTTTGCAAAGACAGACTAACACGGCTGTTACTCTGAAACCTGATCTCTGGAAAAGCCAGTTTAAAGGGGATTTAGCAGCCTCTGAGGTCCTGGCCTTCTAGGCAGGGCTAGACAGCAGAGAATCTAGGGCTCTGGCCCAAACGGTCTCTCACCTGACATCCTAACTCGGGTAGGCAGCAGAAAACATTGGCCTCTTGGCCTAAGGTGGGGTGCCAGCAGGAAGGATGAGGGACCTTGGCCCACCCTACTCCACCAGGTCCTAGCCCAGAGCCCTGACAGTGCGAGAGCTCTGCCACTGGGTCAGCAGGGATCCCACCAAGACACACAAACAAGTACTTTGGCACTACAACCAGACTATTGTCTGGTGTCCCTGGGCTACTTCCTATAACCCACTGACTAGATACCTTCATTCTGTGGGTGTCCTCTGTCTCCTCATGGTACACAGATAACAACAGTTTCCTCATCCCTGGCAGCCCCTTCAAGTCCTCTGTGCTGTAGAGGTCCTACTTGGGCACAAACCCCAGTGGGGAGCATCTATCTTGCTCACCAGCTCCAGGCCAACTGAGCTGCAGGGCCTGCCTTTTATACTTCCTGTCTGCCCCTCTGCTTTGGGCGTGGCTGGCCTGGCTCCATGCACCAGGGAGCAGATGGTGGTTTCTCCTGCTCAGGTCCAGAGGAAGGCCATGTCCCCTCGCTACACTCCACATTTGATATAAATAAATTACAGAAGCAGAGAAAAGGGTTGTGGGGGAGAGTGGTAAATGCAGATTTAAAAACTGGTGACTTGCATCGTAATTTTAGTATATTTAAGACAGAAGGTGCCAGTGGGGCCTAAAACAGTTCTGAAATGACTTAACCTAGGGAGTGACTGGCCTTAAAAATCCCTTCCAAAGCTGTTGTTGTCAGTCTGCATTGTGACAGACATCAGAAAAAGGACCGTTAGTGCACAATCTCATAAACTCTGGTGACAATCCCTTTTGTGGTGTGGTGGAAAATATAGTCATGTTGGCGCAGAACCCGTGGGGGGAGCATATGAGTAGTAAAGCTTTTGCTTTTACTTTCAGTATGTATTTGCTTTCTATTTTGTTCTTTGTATCTAAATTACTTTTGTTTAATGAAACAGCAAAACTTTATAAGTATCTGTAGAAAATTTTGTGGACTTGGCATTATAGAGGCAAAGCTTGTATCCCTGTATATAATTAAAGTTCTGGACTAATATGGGTTGCAAAGGGAACAAATAGGGTTAGCTTCAGTATATGATGAGAATTAAAAATAAAAGGACTTGATTCTGAGAGAGTCTGAGCTCTTCCTGCCTCTGTAGACTTCAGTGGAAGTTGCAAATGCTCAACACCTCTTGGGATTGGGCCCAAAGTTAGCAGCAACACTTAATTGCAAAGCCGAATAATTTGTCAAGGACAGAATACAAGTTTCTACCTCTTTTTCTTTTCCTGTTCCATAGGAAGAGTAGCCAGCTATTTGTTTGCATTTTTCTCTTGCAAGTACAAGAAATTATTAGTCAGCGTCTTTCATTATTTTACAGTAACTCTTTATTTAACTTTGTTCGGGTGATTGCAGTTTGTTAATAGTACTTCTTGAATTTATTTAGACATGTTACTAGAACTTCAGTCTTGCCTTCCACCTTTTTAGTAAGATACTAACACTTATCGCCCATGTCTGTAGTCTTCCACATTGGAGACAGGGACATAAGGTAATCATGCTGTGGAATAGAAATGGGTTTTTGAGAAGATGCATGTCTGCTTGAAGCTTTTGTCTCTTGAGATGCTACTGGGAATGTATAAGGGAGAAAGTCCATTTGGATTCACATTTTTAGATTTTGATTAAAAGGAGGGGGGTGTTTAATTTAAAGGGAACATATTAACTTGAAATTTAGTCAAATAAAGAAAATGAATTTCAGCAATTCCTGACGTGTCCTGCCATTTTTTGTGGTTTTACAGCCACATTTTTATATTTATTTAAAAAATGTTCTTTTCAGGTGTTGCTATGCAAAAGACTCATAAAGTAAAGGGGAAACTAACTATGCATGTGAAATAGTGTAACTGGCTAGACATACAATTTTGTGAAGTAGGCAGTGCAATGAAACTGATTCCTTTCTTTTGATTACCTGAATGATCGTTAGTAGGTAAATAATTTCCATGAAGAAGAGTGAATTGTAAATTGGCTACATATAAATGTTGTGAACTCAAACAGGAGAGTTTTGTGCTAATATATGAGAACCAGAATGTAAAACTAACCAGTCTGCTTTCACTGTCCAAACTAAGAGAAATGCAAAAAGTAAATCATCAGCAGAAAGATTGTTAAAGTAATCTAGATTTAAATATTTTTCACTTTTTACTCTTTTGTGTGTGTGTGTATATATATATATATATAATTTACCATTGTATTATTAAGATTTTGAAAATTGGTCATCATATTTAGTGAGGGAGCAATTCTGTGGTGGTAATTTGTGCTTATTGAAAATAGCCAATTGTCATACAAACACTAAGCCCTGTATTTTTTTTTTTTTTTTTTCAAATGTCGTCATTCTGATATTCTGGCCCTATGTATTGAGAGGAGAATATGTCAAGAGACAGAAAATACCTTTTCAGTAGATTCCAAATACAGACTAACACGGCTGTTACTCAGATCAATCCTGGTGACTCTGAAGGCTGGTTAATTCCACCTGATGAAGTTCCCTGAACAGATTTCAGATAACATACTGAGCATTTTCATCATCACCTTGTAATTAGTACAACAAACTGCTCACAAAGTTTGTGTCCTTTAAACAGGACTTTTTTTTTTTAAGCCTGGCTTTAGGTGACTGTTTGGTGAACATGGTAAAGTTAGTAAAACTGAGTGCTTGATCACCAGATGAAGAATGATTGATTAAGCCTGGAGAATGAACTACCCCCACTCATCCTTAGAAGTTGTCTCTACATCCTTATCTGCTCTAGGGATGCTCAAGACTTACAGATTATACAGTAGACTTCATTCTCCAGTCCAGCACCTTCACTGTCAGGAAATCCACTACTGCTGAGTATTATTTTTAACTCAGAAAATTAAACAGAAAAAAATTGTTGTTTATGGAAAATGTCTGATATTTGTGTTCTGCAGAGCCAGCAACACTAACCATGTTCCCAGAGTTGGGCAAACATGGCCTATACAGATGCAAAAACAAGGAAGTCACCATGACAAAATTGTATTTTTATTTATTTGAGACTCCTCACTTAAGTCTAGGTGACTTGCAGGCTTAAGATGAGCTATTCAAGGCCTCGAGAGGTACTAAATTATATACTATTTTACAGCTTTACCAGTCTGCTAGGAAACCAGGATTTAATCGTGTGGGAAAGCTTGTTCAAAGAAGTGCATCTTCCCCATAATTCTAGAAGTGTCCAGGTTTGTGCTGAGTAATATTTTCTGCCGGGAATGGATTCAAAATCAGACTTCTAATTTTGTCTTCTACCTTAAAGTGTGCTGCATCATTCCTTTGTGCTGTTTAAACAGCTACCTCGTTTCACTTGAGGAAACCTGAAGGGGAGAGAAGTGATTGCTTTTCTTTCTTCTGTGAACAGAACAGGCTTCTAACTTAGTTAAACTTATTTTTCAGTTGTATTGCAGTAATTTAAATAATTGCTTTTTAACAAAATCATGTCAAATCAACTGCTTTACAGGGAAAAGTGTGACAAGAACACACATTCTGATATGCAGTTTAGTGGGTCATAAACAAACTTTTATAAATCAATATGTTACCTATAAACAGTGGAGCAAACTACAGCTATCACGTGTCCTGTACTGTATACTTTATCTGAATGTCACCTTCTACCATCATGAGATTGATTGGGAACGGTACCTCTCTTAATACTTGTCAAGGTTCCTCCCCCACTCTGAACTC